ACTGAGCCAAACCGGTTTCGGCATATTTATAATTTTATTTATTCAAGTTCTTTCTCATTTTGTCTTGATTAGTCTAGCAAAATGTTTGTCAATTTTATCTTTCAAAGATAAAAATATTTGAAATGAGAAAATGTTGACCTTTTCTATTGTCTTTTTAGTCTCTACTTCACTTATTTCTATTCTAACCTATTTGTTTCCTCCCGCTAACTTTGGTCTTGCAACTTTTCTTCTTTTCAGGTCATTTGTTTGAGATCTTTTTTTTTTCTTAATACTTATCACTGTCAACTTTCTTCTTAGAACTATTTTTATTGCAACCCATAAGTCTTGGTGTGTGTGTTTCCATTTTATTTGTCTCGAGATACTTTTTGAGTTCTCTCTTAATTTTGTGTTGGGGTCCAGCCCCAGCAGGTCCAGGGGTTCCCAAAGGTGTGGACGGAGTTGGCGAAGAAGGAATGACACAGAGACAGCGTTCAGTTGATCAGCAGCCTAGCCAGGATCTCTATCCAGGATCTCCAGCCAAGTTCTGTGTTTTATTGTCTTGTTACATCTGTATTTATACCAGTTGATTTTAATCCTGTCAATTTCTATTCCAAAGGTTAGGGCGTTTCTTATCTCCATTCCAGGGAGTAAAGATTATGTAGCTTAAGGGTGATTGTTCATAGTTAAAGTGATTAACTACCCACCTGGCATTTAGTTAAGGGGTTTTATTCCCTCCCTAACTTCAGGGAAACAATCCCTACCTGGGGAAACAACCTTTCTTGGAGAGGTGACCTTGGTTAAAACACATAGTGCCAAGAAGGGGAGCAAACATATTAAGAACAGTATGCCATATACGCCAGGTCCCTTGAAACATATGCTCTACAGATGTTTCTTCCCTGCAGTGACTATGTCAAGCAGCAAGGATGGACCGGCTTCCGGCAATTTTGTTCTTTGACTCATTGGTTGTTCAGGAGCCTAAGGTTTAGTTTCTACATATTTATAAAATTTTCTCTTATTGTGGATTTCTAATTCCACACCATTGTGGACAGAGAAGATACTTGATATGATTTCAAGCTTCTTAAATTTATTGATTTGTTTTGTGATCTAACATGTCATCTATCCTGAAGAATGTTCCAGGTGCATTGAAAAGAATGTCTATTCCGCTGCCTTGGGATGGAATGTTCTGTATATGTGTGTCAGGTTCATTTGGTCTATAGTGTTATCAAGTCCACTATTTCCTTATTGATTTTCTCGGTGGATGACCTATTCATTGTTGAAGGTGGAATATTGAAGCCCTGGACCATAATTGTATTGCTGCTTATTTCTCCCTCTCAGTTTTGTTAATATTTACTTTATATATTTAGGTGCTCCAATATTGGGTTCATATATATTTACAGTTGTTATAGTCTCTCTGTGCATGGACCCCTTTATCATAATTTAGTGACCTTCTTTGTTTCACAACAGATTTTGACTGAAAGTCTATTCTCTCCCTCTGTATGCAGAGACAAAATGCAAACATCATAAACATAGAAAATTTTGCATTTTAAAGTTGTTAAAAGGCAGCTTTATTTTTTAAATTTGTGCTATGGATTTTTTTAAAAGAATCTCACAGGCCCTGGTTCGTTGCTCAGTGGTTAGAGTGTCAGCCTGCAGACTGAAGAGTCCCGGGTTCGATTCCTGTCAAGGGCACATCGTATCTCAGTTGCAAGTTCCCCAGCACCAGGGCTGGAGGCAACCAATTGATGCATCTCTCTCTTTCTCTCCCCTCCTCCTCCCTCCCTTCCACTCTCTCTAGAAATCAATGGAAAAATTATCCTTGAGTGAGGATTTAAAAAAAAAAAGAATGTCATGGGAATGATTTTGAATCAAGACATCCAGCTACTTGGTAAAGTTGGGTAAAATTTCAGAGAGGGAGGGAGGGAGAGAGAAAGAGGAAGGAAGGAAGGAAGGAAGGAAGGAAGGAAGGAAGGAAGGAAGGAAGGAAGGAAGGAAGGAAGATGTGTGTTTGAAGAGAGCTTTGGGTATAAGAGCAGCGTCGACCATGTGTGGAGTCAGGATCCCTAGGCCACACTGGGGAATCACTATTCCTTTCTGGTTGGACCACAGAAAGAAGGTAAGAGATATAGCTGAAAAATTGCATGTAGCTGCAGGCATGGAGCGCACAAGTGGTGAATAATAAAGAACTTCCCCAACCCATTCTGACAGAACCCTTTACCCTCACAGCTGACCATTCTAGCTCAGACGTGACAACACCAGCCCTTTTCCAGATCCATCCCCTCCCCCCCTCCCCTTTGCCTTTCCATTCCAACCCAATCTCCTAGGCCCTCTACAAACCTAGGCCTTTGCCTACCAGGGGTGGGCAAACTTTTTGACTCGAGGGCCACAATGGGTTCTTAAACTGGACCGGAGGGCTGGAACAAAAGCATGGATGGAGTGTTTGTGTGAACTAATATAAATTCAAAGTAAACATCATTACATAAAAGGGTACGGTCTTTTTTTTTTTTTAGTTTTATTCATTTCAAACCGGCCCGCGGGCCGTAGTTTGCCCACAGCTGGCCTAGGCAGTGTTCTCAGCCTGGGATCACCACTCTTTTTTCTTTTGACAACTTTTCTCTGCCTACAAGCCCCACTTGTCAGGGCTGGCTCACAGCTTCCTTGCCTCCTCCACAGAGAATGACTCACCCGCTGACACTTTGACCTGCCTTTTTCAATCCACTTGTCACATTTATAATAATTGCTTACTATCATCTCTCACCCCATAAAATTGAACTCCCTGGAGTCATGGATTGTGGTTTAAATTAAGCTATACAGGCCCATCCCGACACAGGTCTGACACCCAGTGAGTGCTGAACAAAGCCTTGAATGAGCAGTCTTGAATAGTCTCCCTATTTCTGTTCCTTCTTTTCCTCAACTTGTCTGATTCTCATCCTAAAGCCACGTTTGGATTATGTCACCCGCGACTCAAACTCCTCCTCTGGCTGACCCTCACCAGGGACTCTTTCAATTGTTGGCATTCAAGACCTGGCAATGAGGGCTGTTAGGAAAGTTAGAGAGAAAAAGGTCAGGTGAAAGTCCCAGCCAGGGTCAGGCAGGGTTAAGCAAGCTGATCTGAAGTAAACTGACAGAGGGCCCTGTTTAACCCATAATTTCCTCCCTCCCTCCCTTCCTCAACCTTTTATTGAGCACCATGGTCAGGACCCGCGCAGGTGGGAGGGGCTGCTTAATAAAGAGCTCCACCCAGACCAGAGTCTGACTCCACTGGGGTGATGGTGAATGTTTAACAACAGAATCTGTGCAGGTGGGGGAATGAGTTCTAGAGGTTGCCAATTTTTCTGGTGTAAATATTCCCATCGTGTCAAGCTACAAACATGGTCACTGACTATAGAATTGAAAATAATTGTACAATACCAAAACCATTATACAGCATTTCTACCATATAGCTGTAACAGACACAAACATCTCAAGAATGTAGATAATAGTAAAATGTAGCAAAATAATTAGGAAGGGATGAATTTTGAATATTTTCTACCTTTGCTTTTAATATAATTTCATCGTAGGTTTATGTAATTCAATTTTTAACAATGGCTTTAAAAAGATAGTGCTGGTGAGGATATGGCAAAAGGGAACGCATGCACTGTTGGTGGGAATGCAGACTGGTGCAGCCTCTGTGGGAACAACATGAAGTTTCCTCAAAAAATTAAAAATGGAACTGCCTTTTGACCCAGCGATCCCACTTCTGGGAATATATCCTCAGAAACCCCAAACACCAATCAGAAAGAATAGATGCACCCCTATGTTCATTGCAGAGTTATTTACAATAGCCGAAGATCTGGACACAGCCCAAGTGCCCCTCAGGGATGAGTGATAAAAAAGCTGTGTTACATTTACGCAATGGAATACCACATGGCTGTAAAAAAGAAGGAAATCTAGCCCTGGCTGGTGTGGCTCAGTTGGTTGAGCATCCTCCTGTGCGCTGAAAAGTTGCAGGTTCGATTTCTGGTCAGGGCCTGGGAGGCAACCGATCACATGGATGTTTCTCTCTCTCTCTCTCTCCCTCTTCCTTCCTCTCTCTCCAAAGTCAATAAAAATACATGTTTTTTAAAAAGAAGGAAATCTTACCTTTTGCAACAGCATGGAATGGCCTGGAGATTATTATGCTGAGTGAAATAAGCCAGTGAGAGAAAGACAAATACCATATGATCTCACTTGTATGTGGAATTTAATGAACAAAATGAACTGAAGAACAAAATAAAAACGGAGGCATGGATACATGGAACCGACTGACAGCTGTCCAGGGGACGGGGGTTGAGGGATTGGATGAAAGAAGATGAAGGGATCCACCAAAAACCGATATCCATTACATATAGACACAGACAACAGTGTGGGGGTAGCCAGAGGGAAAGGCGGGTGCGGTGAGGTGGAAGTGGGCAAAGGGTAGGGAAATGGGGAGGGAAAGAAACTTTACTTGGGGCGATGGGGGCAGGATGCAGAGAGCAGATGATGTTTTATTGAGTTGAAACCTGCATGTCACCCCAATAAATTCAATAAAAAAAAGATAAAGAAAATGAATGTATCTAACATCCAGCTTGCAAAATCCTGAAAATTTAACTCAGTTCTGGCGACTCCAGACAAGCTGGTTCCAGCACACTGTTGTCTCCTTGCATGCATGGTTCACACTTTACTTCTTCTTTAAAAAAAAAAGTTTTTTATTGATTTCAGAGAGGAAGGGAGAGGGAGAGAGAGAGAAACATCAATGATGAGAATCACAGGTGCCTGACGGGGGATCGAACCGTGACCTCCTGGTTCATAGGTCTAGCTCAACCAGTGAACCACACCAGCCGGGCATACTTTACTTACTGATGGGTCTTTTTTTTTTTTAAAAAAATATATGTTTTATTGATTTTTTACAGAGAGGAAGGGAGAGCGATAGAGCAATAGAGAGGTAGAAACATCGATCAGCCGCCTCCTGCACACCTCCTACTGGGGATGTACCCGCAACCAAGGTACATGCCCTTGACCAGAATTGAACCTGAGACCTTTCAGTCCGCAGGCCGACGCTCTATCCCCTGAGCCAACCCGGTTAGGGTGTACTGATGGGTCTTTTAAGTGCAGGAAAACTGCCGGCCAAGAGGAGGAACGGGGCTCACTGGGGAGAACCCAGGCCGGCTCTAGTTCCTCACAACGGCCACCGGGAGGCGACAGACACGGGCTAATAAAGGCAGAAGCCCCTGGGCTCTGCGCTCCTCCCCGCCACTTGGGTCCCGGGGCGCGGAGGGGCGGTCCCCACTGTAGGGCTCTGGTCTGGAAAACCAGGCTCTCAGTCCACCGATCGCCTCGTCGTCGCGGGGCCCACGCAGCTCTTAGCCCTTAGCCCGCACCCACCCAGCAGCTCCTGTGGCTGGAAGCCAGCTCGCCCCTCCGCCTTCCTGGCATCCCGCGCGCAGTGACCACACTTCCGCTGGCTAGGGATCCAGAGCAAGTCTAGGTCGTTAATTGCAGGAGTTAATTAATCACCGCGCAATTAGCTTATGTTTTCCCTGGTCCTAAGCCCGGCTGATGAGTGCAGGAGGGACGAGGCACAGGAGCTTCCGCCTGAGTCACCCGGAGGCAGCGGCGCCCAGGAGGTCAGGGAAGGAGGCTACCCAGGCTTCTGCTGCGGATGCAGAAGAGGGCCAGGCCCTGCGCCCAGGAAGACAAAAGAAAACCCGGGAGTTGGGCCCGGAAACCGGCATCCTCCTCACCCGCCCTCTGCCAGCTGTTTGAGTGACCTTGGGCAAGGCATTTAACCCTGGCGGAACCTGGTTTCTGCAGCTGCCTCCCTGACATGTGTGCCCTGTTCTTGTTCTTCCTTGTTGGCCAGCCCTCCAGGGACATGCACTCCAGCGCTGCATTCAACCTGATGGGCTCTGTCCACTGTTTGATCCTGTTCCCCTTGTCAAAGGCTGGCTCCCTGCAAATACCATCAAAACAACCGGCTACTAAGACAAAACTGGGTTTGTTGCTTCTCTTGTTCGGGGAGGGCAGAATCTTGAGAGAGTTCTTGAGTGGAGGTGGAAAGGGCAAAGTTGAGGTACTGAGGTTTTGGGGTCTGGTTTAAGGAGAGCCTTTTGATGCAGGACTTAAGTAGGATTTGGGTAAAGATCGCATTATACAGTTCAGGATTGTAAGTCATAGTAATTTAGGAGTTGGCATGTGAGGTAAGGGTTTTATTTATTTATTTTTTAAATATTTTTATTGATTTCAGAGAGGAAGGGAGAGGGAGAGATAGAAACATCAGTGATGAGAGAGTATCATTGATCGGCTGCGTCCTGCACGCCCCCTACTGGGGATCCAGCCCGAAACCTGGTCGTGTGGCCTTGACCGGAATTGAACCTGAGACCCTTCAGTCCACAGGCTGACGCTCTATCCACTGAGCCAAACCAGCTAGGGTGAGGTAAGGGTTTTCAAGAGTCTTGGAGTTTCAACGGTTACCTGGTGCGACCTGCTGAAAAGTCATGTGATTTTAAGTGGACTTTTCTGAAATGAAAGAGTGAGGTTATTTGCATCCTTTGTCTTCCTGGGCAGGTGTTTCCCAGAATAATGAAGTCACCGTAAGACAGTCATGGTACTTTGCTTCAGCCAGTGTGAGTCACAGTCCTCTGCTATTTGCACCCAGAGGAAGACTGTATGTGGTTTTCTTTTGTATAAAATGGAGATCATATTGAGAGGGACTGGAGCGGTCATATAGTGAGAATACCAGGGTTTGAGCCTATTGTAGCCTTTCAATATTACATCACAGGAGAGCTCACAAAGGTGTCTGAGTCTGGAACATTATTCTTGCTCTCAAATAGGAAAAGGGAGCTGCCAAATGGAAAAGAATAGATGTTTACTAACTAGCTCCAAAACATAACTATGTCCACTAACCAACTGCAACTTAAAGCATATGGTTCCTGGTCCATTGCATTTACTCTGTAGAGACAGGTGTATGTTCATGTTTGATGGCATGTAGTGGAGTCTCCACAACTAAGAATGTTCTAGGCTTATCAAGATCATAAAATGGCTCTGAGGCATTTGACTTCTGCCCTTCCTGATTGCCCTGTGAATTGGGGTGAGTTCCTTCCCTGTCTGAGCTCATTTCTTCATCCGTGCATTGGGGAAGACTATGCTTTGGGCAGAAGAAGGAGGATAATATGAGGTCACGTGTTGAGTATGGCAGTCAGCAGCTGGAACCAAGTCCAAATGATTCAGGAGCAGTGCTAGCCATTACCAGTGTGGGCTGCTCTACAAATTGTAAGTCTAGAACAGTGATGGCAAACCTTTTGAGCTCGGTGTGTCAGCATTTTGAAAAACCCTAACTTAACTCTGGTGCCGTGTCACATATAGAAATTTTTTGATATTTGCAACCATAGTAAAACAAAGATGTATATTTTTGATATTTATTTTATATATTTAAATGCCATTTAACAAAGAAAAATCAACCAAAAAAATGAGTTCACGTGTCACCTCTGACACACGTGTCATAGGTTCGCCATTATTGGTCTAAGACAACAAACTATGAGAGATTATGGGCCCATTGGAAGAAGTTGGGAAGGACTCAAGGTTAATCAGGTTGGGAGGAAGCAGGAGAAATGAAGTTGATATTAACCACGATTCCAGTATAGGAAGTCTGGGACTTGTTTGGATCAGTTCCTGCACTGCTTACTACCCTTTCTCCTCCCCTCCCCTCAGGACAAGTGCAGGGACAATATTAAAAAGATTTAATCAGTTCTTTACAGGCAAGAAATAGAATAGGCTTGTTGGAACCTTTAGAGGTCCCCTGTCTCAATAGGCATTAATTCTTTAATTGCTAGAATTTGGGGGTGGTCAAGGGGACGGCTGCACATTGAGGGGCAATTGGGGCCTCAGGAAGTGGCTGCTTACCAACCTGTAGTTGACATTCAGTTTGGCTCTATCAGAACATCCTGGCTGAAAATCTGCTCGCTTAAGGGGAGTACAGGGGTTTGGCTTTCAGGTGTGGGACAAGGGGATGTTGGCAGTAGACCCCTGTGCAGGGCAGGCATGGGGGGAGGTGGGGCAGATTATGATCAGGCGAGTCTTCTCTGGGCACTTCCAGGCTCTGGCACTGGAAGGCCAGGGAAGCCTCAACTCCCTGCAGCTCCTGAACATTTGAGCAGCACCCTCAAATGGAACTTGGCTAGGTTTTCAGGTCCTCTTATCTTCTAGACTTGGGGAAATCCTTCCCCTTCTGTTGGGGTCCAGCCCCAGCAGGTCCAGGGGTTCCCAAAGGTGTGGACGGAGTCAGCAAAGAAGGAATGACACGGAGACAGCGTTCAGTTGATCAGTATAGCGAGGTTCGCCAGCCAGGTTCTGTGTTTATTGTCCTGTTACATCTGTATTTATACCAGTTGATTTTAATCCTATCCATTCTATTCCAAAGGTTAGGGTGTTTCTTATCTCTATTCCAAAGGTTAGGGTGTTTCTTATCTCTATTCCAAAGGTTAGGGCGTTTCGTATCTCCATTCCAAGGTTACTCCATTGTTCTATTAAGCTGCAAGGAAATAACTGAAGGAGATTATCCTAAGTAAAGATTATGTAGCTTAATCGTGATTATTCCTAGTTAAAGTGATTAATTACCCGCCTGGCACTTAGTTAAGGGGTTTTATTCCCTCCCTAACTCCAGGGAAAAATCCTCACCTGGGGAAGCAACCTTTCTCGGGGAGGTGGTCCTGTTTAAAACACATAGCGTTAAGAGGGGGAGCAAAGCCGAAACCGGTTTGGCTCAGTGGATAGAGCGTCGGCCTGCGGACTGAAAGGTCCCAGGTTCGATTCTGGTCAAGGGCATGTACCTGGGTTGCGGGAACATCCCCAGTAGGAGATGTGCAGGAGGCAGCTGATCGATGTTTCTCTCTCATCAATGTTTCTAACTCTCTATCCCTCTCCCTTCCTCTCTGTAAAAAATCAATAAAATATATTTTTTTTAAAAAAAGAGGGGGAGCAAACATATGCCATATATGCCAGGTCCCTTGAAACATAAGCTGTGCAGATGTTTCTTCCCTGCAGCGACTGTGTCAAGCAGCAAGGGTGGACCGGCTTCCGGCAAATTCCCACTTTTTTTTTTTAAAATTAATTAATTAATTTATTTTTTTACTGCTTAAAGTATTACAAAGAGTATTACATACGCACTTTTTTATTTTTTAAATGACACAGCGTGTAAATCAGCGGCCACCTCTGGGGTTGGGTTGTTTAAGACTTGGAAGAAGACTGACAAGCAATGATAGCGAGCATAGCTATAAACATAGTGAATGGAGTGCACACAGAGCCTTGTTCCTGTAGAAGGTTGCTGGCTTCTTTAGTCAAGGGATTTCAGCTGTCCTCAAGTTGGTGGTTTGGTTGTCCTTGTTGATCTGGCTAGCAGGCGGTGTCATTGGCGCCGGGCTTCCCGAAGCGTCAGCTTGTTGAAGGGCTGGATCAAAGGGTCCATCAGGGCCGCGATTGATGGTGGTGTCGGTGTCCGGGGAGGAGTCAGCTGTGCCTTCTGGGTCAGCCGATATGGATGACACTGGGGAGGAGGAGGATGAGGTGGAGATGGAGGGTAGTAGAGAGAAAAAGAAGAGAAAGCAAAAGAACTACAAGGCATGGAAGTGTTTAGAAAAAAGAGGGAGAAGAAAGGGAAGAAGGCAGCATCCTGACACAGCCCTTTCCTTCAGCTGCCCCTTTCCCTGTGGTCCAAGGTAGAAATGGGAAACAAGTCCTGTTGCAGTGAGAGGGCAGCTGCTGTCAGGCAGTCTCTGTCTTTACCTAGGTCCCAATATGAGCTGGGTGTGGGAAGCTAAGCAGCCATGAGGGCAGGAGACCTCCCTCAGAAGGGGTTAGGGTTCAGGCCTCTGAAAAGTTGGGGGGGTGAGGGTCTGTGCCCCACCTCTGTTGACCCCCAAGTTGTCTCCTGATGGCCCCTCTGGGACTGTGCCTGTATTAGGTTGTTCCTTCCCTGAGGACTCTTACCTGTCTCTGGCTAACCAGCCATCCTCCAGGGCCAAGCAGGGTGATGTGAGGTGTGCGAATGAGGGAGGGGCAGCGCCCCCCTGCAAGAGGTTCAGTTCTGTCTCCTTGGTAGCCTATGCCCCTATGGCCTCCACGCCCAGCACCTGCCTTGGGCTCTCCTCGCCTGCAAATGGACTGTGAGAAGAGGGTCCCTCTTGACACAAGGGCAAGAGGGGCCAATACACGACAAGGGAGGAACGGCCTGTCAGCATGTAGTCCCGGGACAGGGCTTTCTCAGCCCAGGATGTCAGGCTCTTGGCACAAGACAACTCCACGTATGGGGCATATACCAGACACCCCCAGTCACGGCAGAAAAGGGAGGTGCCCTTTCTGGAACAGTAGGGTAGGGAGATTCTAGAAAAGGCTGTGTTCAGGAGAGAAGGAGAAAGGCCAAAGAACCAGCAAACAGGTAGTCATATTTAAAAAAAGAAAAAGAAAAAGTAAAAAGTAAAGGAGATGTGGGGCAAAGCTGGGACATACGGACAGACAAAAAGGAGGCACATGTGATCCTCCTAATGGACAGGTGGTTCCAGCTCAGGGATGCACATCTGCTGCAGACAGGCACTGGTCAGGTGTGTTAACTCGGCCTCCTAGGGGTGACGGTCCCCAGGAGGGAGGCAGAGGCTGCTCCTTCTGGGAAGATACAAAACACAACCTCTTCCCCACATCATTACTAGATCTGGTAAAACTCCTGTCTGGTTTGTGTATCCTTCTACCAGGCTGAGTCGGCAGAGGCGATTGTACAGGAGGCCCGATGCCTTTTGGCTGCTGTACAACCCTCTACGTTGTATTTTTTTTAAAATTTAACATATAACATTCTTCTCCCCCTTGTTTATTTTATTTTTTTTACGATATTTAAGTTTTTTATTTTATGTCCTTTAAGATACATTTAAAAACGCACACACACACACACACACACACACACGCACACACTCATCAACTGCAAACATGAAGGGGAGAAAAAGCATGGTACCGAACCAAATTTCCACATTTCAGCAATACTTCACTCATTCTTTAATAAAGTTTTAAGAAATGTCATAATGACATGAGCTTGAAATATCTGTAGGCATTTTCTCTGACGCTCGTGACGTGCATTAGTGGTGTTGTAAACAGCAGAAAAACAGGGGCTGCCAAATGACCAAATTATGGAGGCATAGGCCTGCTCTTTTCCCCACAGGAACACACCAAATGGTGATGGCAATGATCTTCTCACACCCACACAGGAGGAGCGCGACATCATGCTACGTAACTGTATTCATCCGCTGAAGCCTGGCTGCGTTCAATGTACTGTTTGTCTATCAGCACTTCAATACACTTCCTAATCATGCTGATACTAGGGCTAAACCTAGCTCTTGGCTGGCGAATCACCTCTTGAATAAGGGCATTATGCCGAAGCACTTTTCGTGCTTTCATGATACGAACTATAGCAGCTTGGAGACACATTTTCCGGTCCTCATCGACAGCACTTCTAGTTTGTTCCATTTCCCGTGGTGTGTCTTTCTGCATTGATGGAGTAATTTTAAATGTTTTTCTTTTACTGCTGAAGTTCATATTTAATGAAAATGAAGATTCTGCATCAATAGCTTCCTTTTCCGAATCATGGTTAATCATTTTTACATCAAGTAACGATTTGATTGTTTTTGTCAGTTCCTTTTCATTCATCTGGGTGCTGTCTTGAAGCTCTTTATAGCTGACAGTTTCACTGTTGTTGAAGGCTAGAAGAACTGCCATTTGGTATGTTGTAGCCATGGCTACATATGGTTTGCCCAAATAGTTCATTTTAACTTCACCTGTGCAGGGGTAATGTAACCATGTAAGTTTCCTTCCACTGAAATGCTGGCTGTAAAATAATTCAAACATCTGTACACTTTTGTCCAATTCCTGGGGAATCACAAATGTAGATGAAGGAGCCTGAGTAAGAGGCCATGCGCCAGCCTGTAGAACATATATTTGAAAACTAATTCCCAAATCTATTACTGTGTCTTGATTTTTGATAAAATTGTTGAACTTATTGTTGAGATCAGCACTGACACTCATATCTTTACACATCCGATGTAGCTTGCTGGTAAACTCATAACCACATTCTTGCTTTAATTTATTGATCATGGCTTCTTCAGAATCCATAGACATAGATAACCCGTGAATTAAACGTTTCGCCAGCATTCTTGCGTAAAACTTTTGAAAAACATCTTTATCATCGATATATTTGAAAACAGTAATGAAGCTGGTAAGTTTGCCTTCCACTTCATTCTCAGTCATCCCCTTTGCTGATTTCTTTAGTAAGTTGTCACAGTACTTAGCAAGTAATTCAGGAGCTTTGCAAACAGACTGGGGTTCTCTGTAATTTACAACTGATGTAAGAGCCTTATCCAATGCACTCATGAAGTGCTGATCACCATTCAAAACAGTGTTGATAAGTTGAACAAATTTACCATGTACTTCCAAAACTGACTCCAAAAATCGTGTTGGCATATTTTCCTGAGGAAGATTACTGGTTGCTCTAAGGCCCTCATCATGGACATGATTTTGCAGCTCCTGTATCATATGAGGTAAACCAGTGGACACAGCATGGAGTAAGACATACATATTCGCCAGGCCATTTTTCCCCTCTTGTCGGATGATATTATGACATTCGGCATGTAAGAACTGTAAGTGGTCTGCTACCATTCGTTGCTGACATTCATGAATCACTTTAGTATATGAACTTGGGTGCAAGTATTTTCGACATCGAATTTCTTCATCTTTTAATCTACCTAGAACCTTTTCCATATATTGTGAGCAGTTTGATTCTTGTAATAAATTTGAAGCTTCTTGTTTGTAATACTCTCCTGTTTCAGTCAGAAAGGGGGACTCAAAGATTTCCTGATAAAACTTTAAGGGGAATCTTTTCCTGTACTGTTCAACATGAACAAAGGAGTTAATAACCCCATGGATTACCTTCTGGTTTGGGTCTTCTCCACCACGATCATTTTTGATTTCTCGGAGCAGCATTCGGGTAAGGATGGTCTGAAGCGGTTCAACCATTAATTTCCTCCACATATCCAATGCTAGCTCTCCTATTTCCATAAGAGGTTCATTCATATCTACACCACCATAGCCATACTGAAGGTCAGCTTCTGTCAATTTGTTTCTTTTAATAAACTGGATGTTGAGATTTCTATACAAGCAGTCCATATAGTCTGCACCCTTGCTATATTCCTCCCAATACCTATGATACATAACAAGCACTTGCTCTTCAGACTCCAGAACTCTCGTGTGCAAATGCCGTACGTGATTTTCCAAAAAAATCTTAGTTTCTGTATAAAGTCTTTCTCCAAGGGGTTCAGGATAGGCCACACATAAAGCATAGATATCTGAGAAGCGATCATCCCATGTTGCTCTTTCGACGTATTCCAACCTGACAACAGCTTTGATTGTCCTTAAAAGCTTGTTCCATGTTTCATCAAAATCTACTACTCTTGGTTTCAAAGACATTGTGCAAGTTCAGTGTTGAAATCTACAAGGGAACTCGCATTTGACTGTCAGCTTTCTTATCAATTGTTGGGGTCCAGCCCCAGCAGGTCCAGGGGTTCCCAAAGGTGTGGAGAGAGTCGGCGAAGAAGGAATGACACGGAGACAGTGTTCAGTTGATCAGCATAGCGAGGTTCTCCAGCCAGGTTCTGTGTTTATTGTCCTGTTACATCTGTATTTATACCAGTTGATTTTAATCCTATCCATTCTAGTCCAAAGGTTAGGGCGTTTGTTATCTCCATTCCCAGGTTACTCCATTGTTCTATTAAGCTACAAGGAAGTAACTGAAGGAGATTATCCTAAGTAAAGATTATGTAGTTTAATCGTGATTATTCGTAGTTAAAGTGATTAATTACCCACCTGGCACTTAGTTAAGGGGTTTTATTCCCTCCCTAACTCCAGGGAAAAATCCTCACCTGGGGAAACAACCTTTCTCGGGGAGGTGGTCCTATTTAAAACACATAGCGTTGCCCCCCCCCCCCCCCCCCCCCCCCCCCGCGGCGGCCGGCTCCGCTCTCGGCGTTGCCTGGGGTCCTTTTCCTCCCCGTCCCCGCCTGCTTGCCCCCGCTGCGCCGTGCCCAGCCGGGCCAGGCCTGGAGCCGACACCACCGCCATCATGCCGGCCGTATCCAAGGGCGATGGGATGCGGGGGCTCACGGTGTTCATCTCCGACATCCGGAACTGTGAGCGTGCGGCCGGGGGACCCTGGAGGCGGGGAGCGATGAATTGAGGGGTTGGGGGTTACCTTGCCTGGGGGGTAGAAAACCATGGCGGTCGTGGAGATAGGGCCCCGGGGGAACTTCGAGGTGGGGGAGTGAAGGGGCTTAGGGTGCCTCTTGAGGTGACTACACGGAGTGGTTAAGAGACGCCCTAGAGGGTCTTAAAGGTGAGGAGGTTAGTAAGGTTCCGAGGATGGGGTCATAGAGGTGTCCCCGGGAATGATGGGCTTGGGGGTCCTATTAGGCTGGGATCCCTGATGCAGATAGAAAGGGAAGTCGGTGCATGGGTGTGTGTCGGGGGTACACCATGGAGCGATCGAGTCGGGGCCGGGGGGGTTGGGGGGGGGAGGCCAGAAGGGACTGGGAGGACATAAAACCCTGGAAGCCCAATGGGGCCATGCTTGAGGGCCTGGGTGAGAGGGTGTCATAGAGGGAAGGGGCTAGATAGGTCACCGGGGCTCTTGGCCAGGGCACAGAGAGCGCCCGGGAGGGACAGAGAGTCCTAGGGGCCTGGAGAGGAGAGATGGGAAGGGGGAGGACTGTGGTGGGACCCTGGGGCAGGGTCGAGGGGCTCCAGGATGGAGGCTTGCTCAGGAGGATGGAGGGCAGTGGAGAAGGGGCTTGGAGGGTGACTGAGGCGAAAGGAGGGGCTCAGAGGGCACCCAGGGGAGACATTGCCCGTGGAGAGGCTTGGGAGGACCGGCGACAGGGAGCTGTGGGCCTGGGAAGGAGAGGACACCGTCAGGTGCGGGCCCAGGGGATGTTCCAGAAAGGGGAGAGAGCCAGGGGGCCTTAGGGGTTTGTGGGGAAGAGGTCTGAAGAGCTGGGGGTCGGGGGTGGGGGTGGGGGAAAGCCTGGGCTCGGGGTCCAGGGAGGCGGACAGTCTGGAATCTGGAGCCTGACCACGGCAATATGGGGACAGCCAGCACCAGCAGGAAGGACTGTCGCGGTGATGGGAGGCCTGGTGCCAAGTCAGCTCCCAACTCCTCGAAGCAGGTGTTGGTGCTGGGAGCTGTCAGGAGCTTCCCGGACTCTATGCGCGTGGCCTTGGGGCCGGCCAGACCTGGATTCGAGGGCTGTCACCGCCCAGCCGGGTGACCTTGAATGAGGGACCTCACTTCTGTTTCCTTATCTGCCAGGAGGGATAAGGCTGTCCCCACTTTGCTGATGAGGGTGTTGTGATGATGTATGTAGACGGGGCCTTTCCCGCATTCCAGGCACGAGACAGATCTTTGGCTATTGTTCTTGTTTTGCTGGGTCTGGAGCAGTGGCCCCTCTTAGGTGCCCAGGGATTGGTTTAGGGTTTAGTAGGTAATGGAGGGGTCTAGGATGCGTTAGATCTGGTGAAAAGGAGGGGTGGGAACTGTTGGCATCAGGTGGAGGAGAGATGTTGTGGTTGTTATGAAAAGGGGTGGAGCTATGAGGGGTTTGTGAACTCCGTGGGGGGCCAGCTGTTAGAAGCAGGTGTGCCTTGCCCTAGCTGGTTTGGCTCAGTAGATAGAGCGTCCGCCTGCGGACTGAAGGGTCCCAGGTTCGATTCCGGCCAAGGGCACATGCCTGGGTTGCGGGCTCGAACCCCAGTACGGGGTATGCAGGAGGCGGCTGATCAATGATTTTCTCTCATCATTGATGTTTCTCTCTCTCTCTCCTTCTCCCTTCCTCTCTGAAATCAATAAAGAAATATATTTTAAAAAAAGAAAAAAAAATAAAACACATAGCGTTAAGAGGGGGAGCAAACATATGCCATATACGCCAGGTCCTTGGAACATAAGGTGTGCAGATGTTTCTTCCCTGCAGAGACTGTGTCAAGCAGCAAGGGTGGACCGGCTTCTGGCACCCTTCCTGTCCCTAGCTGAGGCATTTCTTATCTCCTCTCCCTTCAAACCTGTACTCTACTCTTTCACAAGATCTTTTTTTTTTTTTAAATATATATTTTATTGATTCAGAGAGAAAGGGACGGGGATAGAGAGAAACATCAATGGCGAGAGATAATCATTTATTGACTGCCTCTTGCATGGCCCCTAGTGGGGATTGAGCCCACAACCCGGGCATGTCCCCTGAGTGGGAATCGAACCATGACCTCCTAGTTCATAGGTCAACACTCAACCACTGACCCACACTGGCTGGGCTCTTTCACAAGATCTTGATGGCAAATTAATCCTTGAGACCAAGTCACTAGCAAATGGAAAAATAATTTTCCTTTTCTCAAGGGCAAGAAAGACTGAATCTTCAAATCCTCTCGGGATATGAGGAGAAAAGGTTTGCATTCTATTTTTCTATGGTAAACAAAGGGAAGAAAAAGAAATCATTATACAACTTTAGAAAAGTTTTTTAAGACAAGAGAGTTGTGCGCCCCACTCCAAGCCACAGGAGAGTTCTGACTGTGTGACCAAGAGCACCCCACCTGCTCCACCCTGGCCTCTGGGACAGTTCTGCAGGCAATACCCCAAGCAACTCAGCAGACTCCCTACTCTGGGCCTCAGGAAAGCACTGCCAGGGAAACCAGGAGCAAGTGGCGTGTCCAGCCAGGGGCCACAGGACCACACTGCAAGTGTGTTGCCAGAGGGACCTGGGGTGCCACCGTGCCATGGGTGCTGGGGCTGTACAGTGAATTTCATGCCAGAGGGCTCAGGGTCCTCACAGAAAGTTGAACATCAGGGAACTGTGCACATTCTCCCACAACCCCAAGCATCTGAAGTGGACAAACCGAGGGACCACATCTGTGGGAAGAGTACAACTCAGAGCAGAGACAACTAAGGCAGACCCAGCCTTTGGGCTAACG